CCGGTTGATTACCCAAGCTTCTATGCCTGGCCGGAGTGGGAAGTTTTTCGAACCCGCTTTGAACTGATGGAGATTCGTGTCGACCTCGGTGTGTTGGGTCATGATCGGAAGAAGCCCACTACGTTGGGTACAAACATCTCTTCTTTGGCTTGGCTGGATGGTCTGGTTGATCGTCGACCTCGTGAACAGTTGATGGAAGCACAGGCATCGATTCAAGACCGCACTTCCCAAAGTCGAGGCCTGACCGCTTCAAGGAGGAGGTCACAAAGGGCATCATTCTGGAGTTGGATGGCAAGCTCAAGGGGGTGGAGGCGGAGGACCAAGTGGGAGTCGCCAAAATGTCAGCTGAAGAGTGGAAGACTCACGTGCTGTGTGACCACATTCCTTTTTCCAAAGAGTGCACCACGTGTTTGAAGGGAGGTGGCAAGAGTCGCCCACATCGAAAAGTCCCTCATCCTGGCGCCATGACCCTCAGTCTTGATGTATGTGGACCTTTTCGACCAGGCGACGATTACCGGAAGAAGGCTCGCTACTTCCTGGTTCATCCCACAGTGAGACGAACTGCATCAGGAGATGATCCCCTTCCTCAGAGCATGGTGGAAGCTTTGGCCGGGGAAGATACCTCTCCTCCTGAGCCTCCCGATGATCCGCTTCTGCCAGAAGTCCAAGCAGAAGACAGTGAGATTAAGGAGGTGGACCCAAAAAGGCTGGAGGAGTGGGAGCGCCTGGAGGTCGAGTCCGAAGATGTGATCATCAAGAACTACACTATACTATGGTGGGCGCTGCGGAGATGTTGGGGTCTTGGAGGTGGCGCGAGGAGCGCGGGATCTACAGGACCTTCACGAGTGGCAGTGATTGGAAAGCTAATGGACGAGCCGAAGCGGAGGTGGGAGTCATTAGAAGATCCATCAACACGCTCATTCGATCTGCTGGCGAAGGAGAGGATCTGTGGCCATTGATGGCGAAGCATGTTGGTGAGAGGCGTGGCCGACTTCAGCTGAGGACCTTGGGCTTTGCAACCCCTCCTCTGCTACCATGGGGGAGAAGGGCGATGGTCACGACGAAGGGCTGGGATGACTTCCAGGGCCACTGGCGGATGAGGAAGAAGCCAGGGATTGTCCAGGGTCCGGATCCCGAGATGAGCCTCACAAGTGGCGGTCATGTGGTGGAGATCGAGAAGGGCAAGTTCGTGAGGACTGATGATATGGTGCAGGCGGAGGATCCACCTTTTTCACGGATGTTCTGGAGGTCAAAGAGAGAGCCAAACCAGCCAGTATCTTGGATGGATCTGTCAAGCCGGCTCGAAGACTTTCTGAAAAGACAGCTCTTTCCGCTCTATCGGTGGTGGAACTACAAGATCGGCTTCACCGAGGGCAAGCCTGGGCAAATGAAGAATTCGGTCGTCTTGAGATCAGGGCCGATGAAGGTGGTCTTGTGGCAATGATCTATGACTTGGATCAGGAGAATCTCTCCATTGAGCAGAAGCTCGGGGCTGGTCTGGCTTCGTGCAAGCGAGTGGCCACTGAGGCTATCCAGGTTGCAAATGAGGGGGAGGAGGTCTTTCTTCAAACCAGGACAGTTAGCCTCAACGAAGTTCGGAAGTCGCTCCCACTGTGGATCCCTTCGCTCCAGACGGAGATCGACAACTTTGACAACAACCAGGCCATTCAGCGAATCACCGATTCCCAGGCCCGTGACATCTTGGAGGAGGCCGAGAAAAAGGGGGAGGAGGCTGGTGATGGGAGGAGGCGTTCCAGAATCGTATGCTGCGGAAACTATATGGAGGCTCGAGCTGGGGATGAGGTCTATGCATCGGGAGCAGATTCCACCCAGTTGAGGACTATACTCCGCTTAGCAGCTCTGAGACAATGGGATTGCCTCTCGCTGGATGTGAAGTCTGCCTTTTTGCTGGCTCCAAAGGCTCAAGGGGAGACCGTCATGGTCAAACCACCTCGCATTCTAGAAGAAGCAGGCTTGGCACTTCCTGGCGAGCATTGGTTGATCACCTCTGCCATGTATGGTTTGGTCACATCCCCCAAAGACTGGAGCTCCTTTCGCGATGCGGAGTTGCAGAAAATGGTGGGCCACTTCAAGACTGACGATGAGGAGGGTGAGGTCGCAGGAGCTACATGCTTCTCTTTCCGCCCGTTGGAGGACCCTAACCTCTGGGCCATTCAGGAGGTCTTTCCTGACAAAGAAGAATCAGGTGACAAGTGGGGTCGGGTGATTGGCCATATGATCGTCTATGTCGATGACATCCTCATGGTGGGACCTCGAGAGGTGATGCAAGCTGCTTCAAAGACAGTTCAGGACTCTTGGTCCAATAAGGTTCTTGGGCATGGAAATCCAAAGACTCAAGGATGGGTCATACTTCTTGCACCAGGGCTGCTATGTCCGGGAGATCATTGACCGACATCCAGGTGGAAGTGCATCATCCTTCATCAAGGTCCCGGAGGAGAAGGAGGAGGATGAGCCGGCATCGTTGCCGAAAGTGAGAGAAGCCCAAAAGATCACGGGGGAGTTGCTATGGTTGTTGGGCAAAACAAGGCCGGACATTGCTTGGGCGGTCATGCGGATGGCGCAAACCGCGGTGAAGAAACCCCGTTGGACAGTGAAGCTGGGTGAAGCTGTGCTGGCCTATCTGAGACAGTCTTTGAATGCTGGCCTGCACTATTCGAATGAAGTTCCAGTCGATTCTGATCCTGAACTCTCTCGGAGGAGACCAAGAAAATCTGGGGCACTTGAAGTCTTGGTTGACGCTTCGTTCGGCCCCAGTGACAGCCACAGCATTACTGGCATTGTAGTCCTCTTTGCTGGAGCACCGATTCAATGGGAAAGCCACAAGCAAACGCTCATGGCGTTGTCTACAGCTGAGGCAGAGCTCACAGCATTGCTTGAAGGACTACAAGTTGGACGTTCAGTGAGGGCGTTGGTGTCGCTTGTGGCTGAGGAGGTGGAACTGGAGCTCTACAATGACAACAGAGCTGCGATCGTGCTTGCGGCGGGAGCCGGGGGCGGGTGAAGGACTCGGCATTTGAGGATTCGTGCAAACACCCTGGCGGAGGCCATACAGATGAAGGAAGTCACTCTCGATCACCATCCGGGAACGTTCCTTTGGGCAGACGCTCTGACCAAGGCTCTGCCTACTCAGTCGCTTTCACGTTTTTGTGATGGCATCGGCCTTGGTGACCCTTCAGTGACCAATACACCTGTCTCCAAGGAGGTCATGAGTGCTTCTCCGCAAAGGGTGGAAATGCTGAAGTCGATTTCTTTGCTGGCGGCAGGTGCGTCTTTGCTCCCGGTGACCCAGGCTGCTGAGACATGTGAAGCCACCAATCCACAAGAAAACACAGGAGGAGGTCTCTGGAGTGATACTGGGTGGCTGCTTCTTTTGGCAGGGCTGGTATGTCTTCTTCACATCATTAAGGACGTGGGGTGGAATGTGGCCAAGTGTATGCTCTCTCCTCGTGAGGTCCTGAAAGTGAAGATTTTGGATGATCAAGCCACACTGCCAAGTCGTGGAACAGAAGAAGCTGCTGGCTGGGATTTGGCATCGTCTGCCTCCATTGAGATCCAACCTACGGAGCGAAAGCTGGTCCCTCTTGGCATCGCTCTGGAACTACCTCCGGGTGCTATGGGAGGATTGCTACCAGAAGCTCATTTGCCGTCAAGGGCGTGGATGTCGTCGGTGGCGTGATTGACCCTGACTTCAGAGGCGAGGTGAAGGTCATCCTGGCGAACAATGGGTCAGAAACATTGTCCATCAAGCCAGGTGATCGTGTGGGCCAGTTGATCTTGGAGAAGTTTGCCAAAGTGGACGTGGTTCAATCAAATTCGTTGTCCTCTACTGGCCGTGGTGATTCAGGCTTTGGAAGCACTGGAGTGGCCGCAAGGCATGTGAGAAGAGAGAACCGTTCTTTTGCTGGAACTCCGGAAGACGAGCTCCCTGTGGAAGCTGTGGTGGGTGACCGTGGAGGAAGTGGTCAATCCATTTTGCCTCCAACCCCAACGCTCGTCTTCTTTGATGGCACCTTCTGGTCGCGTGAGGGTGAGTCAATGGCCCAGTTCGTGTCTTGGCTGAAATCTCAGGATTTAGCCGAATTTAGCTGGATGTTTCCTCGGGCAATGATCCAAGAGCTGCAAAATCCGACTTCCCGCAGCTCACCAGTCACCTTCGACCAAGAGGTCTCTCAGGGTGTGATCACGGCGCAGATGCACCGACATGATGCTTGGAGGAAGAAGCTCTACGACACAGAGGTCTCTGCTCCACCACCTAGCGATGGTATCACGGCAGGAGTGGTCACTCTGGGCACCTTGGAGAACGGGAGCTTGTTTGCCCGTGTGGACAATAGGCGGGGTAGCCGTGCTATGTGCTACCTCAAAAGCCAATGGAAAGGGGTGAGCCTTTTCTTTTCGCATCGTCATGCCCCAGCTCACACTCGGTGAGTCGAGAAGCTGTTCCAAGAGGGTGGGAATCTGAGAGGGCGATTGTTTGGCATCTCTCACTGTTCTTAGGGTCTTTTTGCATTCGATAGGGGAATGCGCTGAGGACCATGTGCGGTGAATGTTGCTTTTTAGGATCCTTCTTTGTGTTTGGCCGCCTCTAGAACCAAGACGAGGGCTTGAGTCGAACTTCTGAGTGTGGACAGCTGCTCGCATCCCCGTTTTCAGGGTCACGACATACTCGTGAGGGGAGAGCCGAAATCGTAGCACGAGCAGTTTGTCTTGTGAAGCTTGAGGTTGAAGTTGATCGCACAACCGAAGCCCTTTTGTATGCTGAAAAGAAGAAGGAGACAGCTTTGTTTCCGTGTGGTAACGTTCAATCGGCGTTCATGGTTTGCTTGCCCATGCTCTGGGGCTTCCAACCACACGATCTTCCTGATAGACCTTGACATGGATGGCAAGGTACAAGGCCAGCGCCTGTGCCTTTTTATTGCCAGCCTGCAAACACGGCTGCAAACTCTGTTTTTGCAGGCGAAATGCTGGAGTCTCAGAAGACAAGCACATCTCACAGCATCTCAGAATCCCGATTTGACGAGCACGAGTCGGAGCATAACCAAGATGAATACAAGGGAATTAATATCCAGTGTAGCTGATAACGGAAGCGTTATGGCCCAGTTATGGCATGTCTCATGAGCAGGGCTGAAAATGGAGATGCATTCTTTTCCAACTTTGGTGCTGATCGCTCATTCACTTTCTTGTCTCAGCTTGAGGAAGTATTCCGTCCGGCATTCAGCTGTTCTACCTGGCAAAATCGCCGACAAACATATGGGTTTGTTCCCTCTCCGCACCACCAGACCGTAAGTGATAGACAATATTATATTGATGGCCAGTCTTGTGGACGGTCAATCCAAATGTGTTTCGAAGTTGACTGCAAAATTTTACCGGCGTCACAAAATGTTCCTGAGCGACTTGTGCAAAAAGGGTTCCTATCTTTGCGCTTATTGACATACATGCTGTCAAAAAAGCTGGGAACTGAGAAGGAAAGCGCAACTCTAGTGGTGACATGTGGCCACAAAACTCAGCCAAGTCTCTGTCCCCACTGCAAAAGTCTTTGTCATCGTAGCCACTTGCCTCTGCTTGTGTGGAAAAAAAAACTGAGCTGCCGACGAAAGCATGAAATCGATTGAAATTACAATATTGACTGTGTGGCTGCGTAACAGCCACAATTGAAACCTGATCTAGCAGCTAGCAGCTAGCAAAAGCATGCATGCTCACAGACTGAACATTCATGCCCTCCCCATGCGTGTGCCTCCATCACATATGCACTAACAGTGAGTTTAACCGGCATCAATTACTTGGACAAGTCATATTAGCCTGTGTACAGGCGTTGGAAGAAGCTACATTGAGCACACGCACGAAGGCTCGATGCGACTTACGCAAATTGATGCTACCCAAGCCGCTAGTAATGAATCTAGGGTCTGTTCGGCTGCCACGAACCTTTGTAAACAACTAGCCAAGTATCTTTGTCAAGTTTCCCCAGTTGTCTGCTGGGGCAGAGATGTCAACGATCCACAGCACCTGGCTAAGTCAGGTCACAAACAAGGGGCGACAAAGCAACGGGCAAAGTCTAGTCCCTGGCAAAGTACTTGCAAAAAACAGAGCTGCAGAAGCAGTGAACACGAACCCCACAAATCTGCACTGCACGAAGGCAAGTCGCCCCTGAAGTGAGCAATGCTAAATGCCGACCCACCTCTGAAAATGCTTCACGTGCAGTTTGCGTGGGCCTGGGAAGTCTCGTGATTTGTTCCACAGCCCAGATTTCCATTGAAAGTTGTGTCTATGCAAAGAACATTTAACGCACGTTTCTGAGCTCTCACAGAAGAATCCAAGAACAAAACTCCAGGAAGACTGAGCACCACCCGCTACTGGGGTCAATGTCAATAGACCCACACACTGCACACACTGTATTCACCAGGGTGAATTGGCAGCCAGGACACTCGGGTGTCACCGTGTTGATGGTGAGGTGATGATACTTTTTGGTGTCCAAGATTTCACCTGTGTCAGACCTTGTGCAGAAAACAAATGCAAAACACGACTCTTGGGTGGATCAAATGATCAAAAGCAAAACAAACAAAGTAATCAAGGGTAAAGCATTTAAAACAAACCTGTATATTCAGTATATTCCATCTAATCCATCTCCACTTCGTTATTCAATCCAATGTTATTTCTTGCCGGGACAGTTCCAAAGTGTCCGCATGTGAACTACCAGTTTTTTCTTAGGGATTGAAGCTTGGTGATGGTCTTGAAATGAAACTTCTACGATGGTCATTGATGCGCCAGTCTGATTTGTCTTGTAAGCAGTGCTAATGCCGGGCCAGGTAGAAGCAATCTGATATATGCATTTGCATATATGTAATGTACATATGAGTGTGCTCATTTATCTATAGATACACAACAAAGTGCTTGAAGTAGAACCCAGCGCCATGCCAAGTTTGTGATGAAATGGGTCCAAAGCAGTTCTTGACAAGGGTTCGCACAGTGGCATGTGTTGACGAAGACAAACCGGGGGTCCAATGGCGAGAAGGATTGGAAGCTGTTGAATTAGGAACGCAGCAAATATTACGCCGCGTGTCAAGTCAGAGGTAGCACTGTCAACGTGTGTGTTGTTCATTGGCTCTAGCAGCGCGAAACAAAGATTTGGTGGCAAGCCTGAATTAATTCGTTCTTTAGCTGTTAGGGGTGTGGAACCTCGCGGCCACTGCGTTCCACGTCGCTAAGCATGGTCTTGAAAACTCGGGAACTACTTTCAACCTGCATTGAACACATCTGCTTCTCCTAGACCTTGAAGCATGCAGATTCCAAGGCCTAAGTTTCTTGTCGAAAAGTATACCCCAAGCAATGGGTTCTAGTCTCTCCTTCCTACAGCGGACCGACGGGTGTTGTAGGTTCACCCCATGTTCCCACCTGGACCTAGACCACTTGGTCAAGGACACACCCTCTGAGTTTCAGCCAAACTTTCACAATCAGTGCTTACAAACAGAGAGAGAGAGAGAAGCACGTTGTTGCTGATCAACCATTCACGACACCTGAATTGGAAAGGTCCAGGTCACCACACCATGCCGGGACGGAGACAGCCGTTCCCCCCACATCCCTCCTGGGCAGTGTGGAGTGGGAACGTCAGCTCCTTTCAAGTAACGTCACTGGTTATTGCAAGCAGGAAACTCCCAGCTGCTTCGATCATGTTCGAAATGCTGAAACGCTACCGGCCAGACTCTCCGCTGGAGATTTTGTGGATCCCTTCAAGCAGCGCCCCTTTTCACCGACATCGCTAGCATCACTGACACCACTCAATCTCCAGGGGTGACCTGCATCACCAGCATCGTAAGGCACCCCATTAACCCACGCAGTTCCACTAATATCGAGCGTTTTGGCACCATCTCATCCAGACCTCCCAGCACTCACTTCAGTTGTTCAACTCAGTCTGCCGGCTGGTTTTTGTAAATGCGCGGCGTGGTGTGCAAGATGCAAAGGGCTCGACTTGGCAAAACACGTAATGCTTCGCAAAAGGTGGATTGTTTGTTTTGCGCGCGCATGCTTTGCTGCACGTGATCGGCTCAATTTATGCTATCCAGATAAGCATAACCTTGTTCATTGGTGATGTGCAAGTCAGCGAATTGATTGTTTGAATAGGGATGCCCCGCGTTGAAGAGAACTGAGACGATGGTAGTTTTTGTGAATGTAATGGGGCGAGAAAGACACATCACCGACGAACAAGGATATGTCCTCCCTTCTCCCATCCTTTTCTTTGCCTTATAGTGTCCTTTTGCTGTCTTTCTGTTGATACAAATCCTCTTCGTTTTTGCCCGTAACCTTGCCCGCGATGCTCAGAAAACTCCAGACCAAATAAAACACAAAATGGTTTCATGGCCCCCGTTGTCCTCAAAACATGTCAAGCGCTTGACAGAACCCAAAATATATCCCATACAAAGCAAGAATCGAGTATGTACATACATACATACATACATACATGGCTCAAGGCCATAAGCTGCTCAAGTGGGCGGCCCAGAAAGTCCCACTAGTGCGGAACCCCCACTCGCACATAACCTGGACTTTGACGTGCAGGTCGGCCCAGGGAGTTCACCAACTAGAACACACTCTTTGCCCGCAATACTCGTCTTCCCGAACCTCGCTACTGCCCTGACCTTCGGTGACCGGCAGTGCTCGCTCTCTACTACCTGGAGAACATCCAGCTCAACACCTCCTACACTCTCCTACGGCCTTGGGGAGATTGTCCACTACCGGACTCCATCCTTGCAGAGAGCTTCAGCCAGATCACGAAAGGGGCGGTGATCATGCAGTGGGGACGCAGCTACATGACATGCCAGAACCAGGAATGTCACAACTGGATCTGGCGGGACAAGATGAGACCAGGAACACGCTGCAGGAAGTGTGGTCAATGGTGGGATCACTATGCCACTACCGGAAAAGGAAAAGGTCAAGGTCATGGTCAAGCCAAGCCTCTTGGACATGGCAAAGCGTGGCCAAAGAAGTCACCAGGAACCCAGATGCTAGACAGCCCACCTGGACTTCACCGGCCAAGACCTCTCAAACAGAACAAAAAACAAGCCGCAGCAGCTGAACTTTTGGCAACAACCTGGGAGGTGATCCCGGAAGGTATCCAAACCAAGCTCATGGCACTCGGCTTTGGACCTCCGCCACCAGAAGAGCCAGAATTGACAGAACTCCTGAAGACCCACATGACGGCGCTACCACAGGAAGTTCAAGCAGTGGTCACTAAGCTGACCCAACCTCTGCCTGATACCGAAAAGGCTCTTGCACAAAAGCTCAAGGCACAGGTGGGGGACTTGAAGTCTGTCTCAATCAAGAAGACCCAGCTTCAAACCAAGCTAGATCAAGTCAAGACCCAGTATGCCTCCATGCTACAAGACATGCAAGAACTTCAGGGCAAGTTGAATGAAGGTCAACAGCGGCTCAAACAACTGTCGGACCAATACATGAAGATCACCACCTTGACCCCACAACCCACGGGCCTTGAACCCGATGAACCCAAGGACCTGCCCATCCCTATGGCCGTCGAAACCTTCGTCACGAGTCTCGGAATCGATCTGTCCGATGAACAAAGATCTCAACTCCATGGACTCTTGAAGAGGACCAAAGCTGATGAGGACGAAGTCAACAAACGACGCAAGACGGACACAGAAGGGCCACCGACAGGGGGGCAGTGTGGGTAACACTTTCACTTGGACCACTACATGCATCCCAGCGTTTCAAGTGCCGATTCCATGGGATGATTTTGAGGCACCAAATCCAACACCGGTTTGCCGTGCTGCATCCGGCTCAATACAGCAGGGGTCTTCCTATGGAGGTGCAGGGGAACAGACACCTACCAAACCACAGGAGGACAACACACCAAACTTTGGGGACACCCACTTGACTGGTGAAGGGGAGATCACCAGCCACCAATCCACAGCATCCTTACCACCAAGGAGGATAAGTTTTGACACGTTAGCACAGCCCGCCACCGACACTGATGGCGAGCTTTTGGGAGCTCCAGGAGCTCAAGTGATCCAGATCAAAGGTGGTGCCAGCTACTTCAAACAGCAGCACCACAAGGCAGACACCAAACTCAGAATGCAGAGCACTTACGGCTCCACGACAGAATGCATTTTGCAAAACCTGTCGATGTCCGTTGGCAATCCCAGCTCCAGATGCTTTGCCAACGCCCCGTGGCGAGCGTTCACTTGGACATGTGCACTCCTACAAGAAACGCACACCGAACCATGGGGGAATCTCTATGATGCAGTACAAGAATCTTTAGAGCTGGCAGAAATTGTGGACATCCAGACCCTGCCTGGCCTACACAGACTCTGGAAGAAACACGATCTCAATGTCCAAGGCGATGCGAACCATTTCGTCAACACTCTCTGGAACCACTCTCAGAGCAGGGCCTTTCACTACAGATTCGCTGAGATCCAAGAGAGAGGCTATTTGACGGACACTGTGCAACAACCGCTCTTGGTCGACTTCCCAGACACATGGCCTGAAAACACCACACTTCAGAGCTTGCTGAATGGCTGGGCTAATGAAGGCTGTGGCCGATACCTCATTGACGACAAAGCCATCCTTGTCATGCGCATTACGAGGAATACAAACCTGGATGGGGTTGCAACCAAGCACAAAAAGATCCTGAATCCCTATGGCACCTTCACGGTCCCCAGATCCATGGATGGCTTCGCAAGAGCTTCCACGGAATTCGTCCCTTCGGTGCTGATCTGTCATCGTGGGGCGAACCACGAGTCCGGCCACTATTTTGCCATTCTGATCTACAGAGACCTCATGTGGCTTGCAGATGATGGCAAGGTGCCAATCTATCTACCACATTTGACACCACAACTCGCCAGTCAAGTGATGCAAATCTGGGCAGTAAGGGCTGATACCTTCAGAACCACACAGCCAGTCATCCAGACGCTTCCGCCTCAGGAAGAACCAGACTTTGATCCACCACTTCACCCCAGCCCGGAGAAGCGACCCAGACTGGAACAAACGCATAACCAGTTGCATTATGCCAATGTCACGCAGTTCGGACGCCAAGTCATTGACTGGTACTGGACACGAAAGAGTGAGCCCTATGTCCTTGTAGAGACCCACTTGGACCCACAGAAGCGTGCACAAATCTGTCAGTACTTCACCATCAGGGGACGAACAGCCTTTGGTGTCCCAGCCTGGCCCAATGCCGACAACGCTGGCACACACGGCGGCATCCTTGTCCTTGGAGACCCTTCGTGCGGGCTCACACCAGTCGAAGCCTTCTCCCTGCAGGGATGTGGGTTTCAGGCTTTCCTCTGGCAAGCCACCACTCAGACCATCATGGTGATAGGGCTATACCTCCGCACCAATGAGAGCATCCAGAGCGAGACCAATGCCACCATCATCGCCAAAATCCTGGCAGTCCTGCAGGCCACCACACACCCGTACATAGTGATCGGCGACTGGCAAAACAAACCCAGCGCAGTCTCAGGCACGGTACTGCCTTCCAAATTCCACT